GTCTGTCATCCAGAAAAAAGCTGAAACTCCAATGGGTATAGTTGCACGTAGATTAACTTGGACTTATTAGCCTAAATTCAGTCCATTTTTCTTTTAATTTAAGTCCAGCTGAAGCAACTGCATTTCTTCTCCCCTACTGTGATAGTAGGCTGGAACATTTTGGCTTAATTTCTTAGACTCACAGGACAGTTTGGATTGGAAGAGACCTTACAGATCATTGAATTCCATCCCCTGCCATGGGCAGGGACACCTTCCACTAAAGCAGCTGCTCAAAGCTTCAGGAGAAAATAGCAGATAGAAGAAAGGATTATCTAAGGAATCTAAAAGGCAGGGTTTCCATGTACTTTCAGGTGGAACATGTAGAAGCCATTTGTAGTTACCTGTGTGGAGGGCTTTCCCAGAGTGAAGAGAGGCACAGTAGCTCAGTTTTGAGGAAGAAACAGGACACATCTGGTTGTGTTAAAATCATCACCAACCCACGGTCCAGGACACTCAATTCTATAGAGCATGGGTTTCAATAGCTTTTCCATAACAATTTTCCTTGATTTGCTTTCATTAGAAAGCTCATATTTTTCTAAAAGTGTTTTTTTTTTCTCTAAACAAAACTTTGCAGAGTTTAGTAAAGCCCAGAAGGCTCCAAAGCTACTGTTTTGTGCTTGGTTGCCAAGGAGTATATCTCTGTCTGTGAATTTACAAGTTTGTCCCCTCCCCACCCATCCCTTTTTTATTGTCCAAGAGCATCTGGTATATCAGCACTTCAAGTGCACTTATCTGCAGGAGATAAACACAAAGCCCCACGTGCACAGTTTTTGCTAGAAATGGAATTATTTGCCGCAAAACTTAAAAAAGAGGAATTATGACTGCTCCTCCTTTAAGAACTTCCATTAGGCTTGTCTTCCATGGAAAATAAGTTTGTTACAGCATGACCTTTGGAAGGTTCACCCTGGAGAAATTGCTTGACATCATTTTGCTCTCAGTGTTAAGTTAACCTCCTAGTTCCCAGTGTTTGTAGGCTTCAGTGAAGTGTGCTCATGGTCAATAAATCTATTAAACAGAATTTGTCCCTGGCTACAACAGCAACAGAAACATGTTTCCAATCACACCAGCAACTCTCCAAAAGGAAGCAATGTTTAAGAAGACAAGGACATAAAGAAGCACTAATTTGCAGCCTTTAACAGGATTGCCTCTTTAATCTGGTTACCACATGGGACAGATTTAAGGATGATGGTCTAAAAGCATTGATGAGAAAGCAGTTGTATTTCTGTGTATACCTGAGGCTTAAGGAACTGAAGAGAAGTCAAGAAATACTAAACTTTTGTTTACATTAACAAGAGGTCTCTTGGGAAAGCATGACACTTCATCTTCTGTAAGTGTGAAAGGTGTTATGTGAGAATCTGAAACCAAAGGGGAAGTTCTCAAGTGCTCCTCTTTCCTCTGATATGTAAAATATTTTTTTTTTCTGCTCAAAGACAGAATGAGGAAGAGTCTGCAAATAGGTGATTAGGAATAAATTTCCATCTTCACAAAAAAAATTGGAAAAGAAAGCCAGGTGTTTTGTGAGGAAATACCTCGCTATTTTTAGTAGCTTGGTGGCAGAAAAGGGAAAAAAGTATTTACAGAAGTAACAGCTCAGGTTGTGGCTCAGCATCCTCAAGAATCACAGAAAGAATGAGAGAGAACAAAGTACTAGAAAGGAGAACCTCAGTTCCTTTAGGATAGGAAAGAGTAGACAGCTCTACTAGTTGGTAATTATTTATATCTCTGCCTTATTAACTTCCTGCCTTTAGGAGCTGAACAGCTGCCAAGTGGGTGAAACTGTTCTCTGTGGATGCAATAACTCCCTGCAAGCAAATAAACAATCACACCCTGTTTTCTCACTCTCAGAGCACAGAGAACTGTCCTTTGCAGGAGAGAGTGTGGATAGCAGGGGCAACATGAGGAAGCCAGGCTGGAGCTGGTGGGGAAAGGGAAATTGCCATATCACAAGCTTTAAATAGCTTTACCCCACACCAGCAATATGAAACATGCTCCCATCCACTTGCCTTACCTACAGGTATCCCAGAAATCCAATCAGAAATATTCAGGGAGACCCAGGATCTGTTTTGTCCTTTGCAGGAGAGAGTATGGATAGCAGGGGCAACATGAGGAAGCCAGGCTGGAGCTGGTGGGGAAAGGGAAATTGCCATATGACAAGCTTTAAATGTGTTTACCCCAAGCCAGCAATATGAAACACGCTCCCATCCACTTGCCTTACCTATAGATATCCCAGAAATCCCATCAGAAATATTTAGGGAGACCCAGGATCTGTTTGGCACTTGCTGACAAGTTAACACTGGTAGACTTTGGCATTGCCTTTGAGGACAGCTTGTCCCTCTAACCAACACCTGCAGTGAGACCCTGAGACAAACCCAGAGCTATTCAGGGAGGAGCATTGCTGGGGGTTTCCCTGTGGCACCATGCATCCAGCTCTTTGCAGGGAATTTGGCACTCACCCAAGCTTTTATCCTCCAGTGTGTTTAGATTGGTTGGAATTGTTTAGCATTCCATTAGGAGCGGTCCACGAGGAGCTTTTCTTGTTTCCTGAGAGGCAGAGGTGTAGCTTGTTGGGTTCTGCAGATCAACTGGAGTTAATGGAGCTGTTTATCTTTAAATGTGGACCCATCAAAGCTACCCTGCATTGTAGTGTGTGGCCCAGTGACAGTAAATTAAAGGAAGCTGTAAAGGCAGCATGCCCTGACTGCTGGCTCAGAGAATCAGAAAGGGAAGAAGATGCTGCTCCACTGTGCTGGAGAAAAGGTGCAGAAGGGCTGTTGGTTTCTCTGGGAGTGGATTTACTTGGGGTGCAGGGAGGACTTAACCTTTATTCCCACTTCTTGTCTGCAGCCCTTTTGTCATACTTCAGATATCACTTACTCACCAAACTCCACCCATGGCTTCTTCCCAACAGCCTGTGGTGAGCCCTGAGCATAAACTGCTGCAGGTGCACACAGGGACATCACTAGCCACGGCTAAACCCTGGCTGTGGGGCTGCTGTGCAAATCAGGGGTCCTGAAGGCACCTCAAGGCTCTCGGCTCCAGCCCTGTCCTGCCTCCCCCTCCAGACACACAAATCCAAGGGGAAAGCAGTCCCAGGTTCTTCACACTGAGATGTGTCCATCCATGAACTGCTGCCTGGGTTTGGTGATTGTCTACTGTGAGATCACTGTCTGGATGAGAACCATTTTGGCCCTGTATTTGGTTTTGTATCTACCTTGAAACACTCCTGTTATTTTTACCTTCTTAAGCCTATCTGACTCTGGCTGAGAATACCAGAAACTGTCTCTCGCCTGTCTCAAATGCAGTTTCTCAGCAATTCCAGTAAAGGACAGGCAGATCTACTCCCATTTTGGTTCCAGAGTAGGAATTATGTTCTTCCATTCCCTCTCACTTCAGCAGGTTGCTGTGTCCCCATGCAGATGACAGCCTGCTGACAGCAGGGTTTTCTTTTTGTTTTGGGGTGTTCTTTTAATGTTCTTTTAATTGGTTGGTTGATTTGAGGTTTTTTGTGGTTAATTTTGTTTTGTTCTTTTGTGGTTGTTGCTGTTCTTGATGCCCTCACTAAATCATTAATGTGTGCTTGTCTTTGACTTTGTGCCCCCTGCAACTGAATTTGTACTCAGCTCATGCGAGCTGCCCTCGCTATTCACTGGGAAGGAGTGACACTCACTGGCCAGAGGATATAGTGCCATAAGTTAAGTGAATTTAAAGGGTCCTTTGAATGGTTTTAGTGTGTGATTTAAAAATGGGGAAAAAAAAAAAAAAGAGAATCTCAATAAATAAAACCAGGAGAGAAGGTTGTGGAACTCATAAACCATGAGAGCGTGGCTGAGATCAGTCCTGAGCTAAAGGTGCTATTACCCTTGTGTAATAATAAGATGTATTATCTGGATCCCTTTTCTCTGATATTGTGGATCAGGATAGGTAAATATTGAAGAAATACAAACTTGATTCAGAGAAAATTGTACATGTACAACTGTAACCACTATTCAAAATCTGTTTATTAATAGTGGCCCTAAACTTCTCAAATCTCCACTTGTGCTTAAATAGTGTCAGAGTCCTTCCAGAGCCAGATGAGAGGAAGCAGGACCTTTTGTTTTTATAACTTCAAATCCAGTTTTAGGCTTGAAGAAGTCAGCTGTTGTCTATGTGGCAGCTGAGGGACAACTGTCTCTCCTTGCCTGTGTTAGCACATACTTGCAATTTCCTTGCGGTGTGTGAATGATCAGACCAAAGATACCAAAGAATTGTTTCCAGTATTCATTATTGCCCTTCCTGGGGTTCCCAAGGCAGTCTAAAACTCTGAGGCACTCTAAAAACAGAAAAAGGTTTGCTCCTGTCACGATTTAGGAGATTCCTATATGTCTCTTCTGTAGCCTGTGCTAACCACTAACCAGGGGCTCTGTCCTCAAGCTTAGTGATCAAACTCTTGGGCTTGTGTCAGCTGTGGACTTGAGGTGCATTTCATCTCTTCTTCTGCAACACTGATAAAAGTGTCCACTGGGGCAAGACCATGGATAAACTCCAAAGGAATTAATCTTGTCACTGGTCCATAGGTTGTACAAGAGTTTTTCCCCTTCCTGATAAGCTTTTCCACCTGTAATTTTCAAAATATATGTAAAAGCTACAAAAACCCACTGAGTGTAGTTTGTGTCTCTGTTAAGTTGTACAGCAATCAGTGAAACATGAAATATTCACTATGACAACCTTCCCTGAGAAATACACTTGATAATGTGAGCTTTACCTAATGATTTACTGTGTTCAGCCTTCCTGTCATTTTTATTCTATGTTTCTGAAAGCTGAATGAATGCAAAATGATGATAATCATTTGAGTAGGAAGAATTGACTGATTAAACACAAAGTATTTGTGATAAAAAATTTATGTGAATGAGAGAGAGAAAAAAAGTAGATCTAGATTTACAGTTCAACTTGACAAGTCACTAAAAACTGTTTTCTTTTTACAGATTTCTCCTGGTGCTGATTTGTTTAATATTCAGTGTACTGTCTACTATAGAGCACTATTCTGAGTTTGCCATTGGAACCCTTTTCTGGATGGTAAGTGAACTTTTTTTGGGAAGGGCTGATCACTTTGACTAAACCTGAATTGCTTTCTGTGAGCCAGTGAGATAACTGTTAAAAATCCTCATGCAGAGCATGCTAGCAGGACATTTAAAAGAGTGCCTGCTTTCATTAGAGAAAGGTCACAGTTTAATGGGGATAATTATTTTCTAGATCCTTGAACTATGAGGACACTTGTTAGATTACCAGTTTTTATGAACTTGCTTTTCCTAAAGTATATATCTTATAGTGAACAACTGGTGTTCATCAGTCTTAGGCAGCATGGAAGAGGATATTCTATAGGAGTGAATTTTTAAAGTGTATATTTTCAAAGTCTATGGTAAAAATTTGGCCAAGAACATTGCTTTTCATAGGCAGGTGATTTCTGTCAGCCTGGTTTGCCACTCTACAGAACAGGAAGGAAGAGCTCCTATCACACTGCTGTCACCAGTGATTTGGATTTGAAGTTGGTGCTTGCTTGGTGGGAATCAAAAGTACAAATAACTTGAATTAAGACACTAGAAAATGTCTCTCCTCTGCTTGCCCCTGCCTCTATTCACCTTTAGGGAGTGAAAAATGGAGATTAAACATCCTTGATAAAAATGGAGTAAATAACTTTCAAACTGTTCCTTGCAATATCTGTATTTTAGCCACTCAAATCCTCTGATCTCAGTGTGTGATGATCTCAGTATTCTTATTGTAGTTTCCTTTTGCCAAATGGTGAATTTTTATGTGATAGAATTTGGTTTTCCATCTGGTTTGAAAATAAAAATCAGTTACTTCTTTGTTTTCCTATGGCTTAGGCTACATTAGCATGTACAGTTTTTGCGTGCCTCTCTGGAGTTTTTCCTCCTGCTGTTTCCTTAGTTTCCTTCCTAGAAATGGCCAGTACACAGGGTAGCTGTTCTGCTGGCTACTGTAGAGTCACTTGCCTAGAACACATTTGTCTTAAAACTTGGTTTGGTTTGAAATAAATTCACTTCAATTACAGAAGATTGTTTTTAGAGCTAATGAAAGCAGTTCTTTTTCACAGAGTTGAGAGGCTTTTTGCTGCCAGGAGTTAAATGGTTGGACTCCTGCTTGGAGCACATCTTCCAGCCTTTACCTGGAGGAATTTCCAGCTGCCTCTCCCATTTGGGCCAGGAAAGTGTTCACCCCACTAAAGTGTGGAGATTGCTGTTCTCTTTACTCCTTTACTCTGATCTACTTCATAGCACAGCTGACTGTTCATAAAACTAGAGTTTTGTCTCTCCAAGTTCATTCTGCTTGCTCTCTTGAAACTGGGGATAGAGGACGCTGCCAGTGTGGTGAGAATCAAAACTGGGCCAAAGCATCTAGTGGATCAAGTCCAAAGTGAAATTGGCTTGTTTCTCTCCTGAGTGAAGTGTAATTCTTTGTATAGCCCTCAGCAGCAAATAAATACTGGTATGTGATGCTTGTAGTATTTCTCCACTTGTGAGAAAACTGCTTTTCGTTATATTCAGGTAGATTAACAATCGGGAAGCATCAATGTCAAAAATGTCCTGTTGCTAAGGCCTGACAAGAGGGATAGTACTTGAAGACATGGAAATGTTTTGTATTTTCATAGGGAGGGTGAGATGGTGTGCCAAGTACAACTTTGGATAATATGAGTCACTGGAGCAGAGATGAGACATTGGTAACAGATGTAGTACTGGATGTGTCCTAAGACACCAGAGCCTGGTGTTTCAAAGATGTCATTAGGTTAATGTTTTTAAGACATCTGGATGGTCTAAGAGAATTCCTTGTCAGGTGTGAAAACAATTCAGAAAAGCTCTATGAATATACCAAGGAGGGAATACAAGAGTATCTGTAGCTGCAATACTAAAGGGGACTGAAGAAGCAGTTGCTGGAACTAAGAGTAAAAAAAGCCACAAATGTTTACTCTCCTCCCATTTCCTAAGCATATGTTCTCAAGTCTCTGACAAGTCAAGTGAATTCTGGAGGAAAGGAATGTGACTTTTAGCCCTGTGTTTCAGTGAGAAGGCCAACCTCTTGTCTTTGAGATGACTGAAAACATTGCATAGCCACAGGTTCAGGTGCAGGCTGATGCTGGGCCTCCTCTCTGCCATGGTTGTTTGATTTGATGCTCTTTCTTAGGTTCAAAGGAAATGTCTGTTCTTTGTACTTACAGACAGAAGACAACACATAAATCTCCATCACTGTGGTAAAATCAGTTTAATTCCATGATAGCAGGATTGGTGAAATTTCTTGTCTTGAACTTGAAATGCTGTTGTTTGAAGGATGATTTTGTTCTCATGCTGCCAAATATTTTGTGTGTTCCCTGTCACTCTTGGGAGAGTCCTTCCCAGCTTTGTCTGACATACTCCAATTTAATTTTTTCATGTATACACATTTTATGAGATTTATTAATTCCTGACAGTGTTTCTTTCCCTCTGCTGAGTATTTAGTAGCCAGCATTTGAGGAGAGTGGTAGTGGCATTGGCACAAGGATTTGTATTGGTAAACACCAACAGAATGGGTAATGAAGAACACAGCTCTTTCTGAATTTTTTACACTTGCAGAGAGAAGCCTGGAGTTTCCAATAGTGTTAAATATGGATTATAATGACAGTGTGCATGCTATTTAACAGTGTACCAAGCTTAAATGCATGCACCATTGGTTTTTGTTCGGATTGTGTCTGTAGTGTGGTATGAAAATGAATCTGCAGCTTCCCCAGCCTTGCTTGGTCCTGTATCTGTACCAGACGAAGATTTCTCACTGGTTTATCCAGCAGTATTTAGGATGTGAGGCTTTAAAAAGTTCTTGTACTTTTGTGTGGGGAAACAAGTGCAGTGGAACAAGGCAGAGTTGTGAATAAAGTATTTGCAACACTCAAGAGGATCCTGAGTTACAGCTGAGTTTCCTTTCCAGTTGCCCCAGGTTTAGGTAACATTTTATCCTCCTATTTTGTCTCAAGTTCTAATTCTGTAATAATACAGTTATAATTTTATCTGGTTCTATGATTATTCTGTTGAAAAAGTGTTTCTAAAAATTGCCAAAGCCTCTTGGTTAGGCCTTTGCCTCTCCAGCAAGAGGCTGTAATGTTTTCTTGATGATCTAGTAGTTCTTATGTCAGTTTTGATTTGTAAATAGCATCTAGATCTTTCAGGATATGGAATGAAAAAATAAACTATAAAATGGCCCAGGTGTACCTCCTTTGAGGATTAATCTGCTTTCATGGTTAGAGGTCATATATTTTTCTACCAGGAGAGGTCACCATGGTAGTTTCTAAAAGGCCGATTTTTATTTTTATTTAATTGCAAAAGACCTTGTAAAAAGAGAGCTTCTTACTTTGTGGGACACCTTGCACTAACTGTGCCAGTCTAGAGGCAACAACATAATATTATTTTCACCATACACATGGTTTTACACACTGTAACAGCACAATAAACATACAATTTGTATAATGATAGTGTTAGTAAGGGAGTAGTTTTGCCTGATTTAGTATTTTGATGTTAATTACTTTTTAAATTTAAGAATACTGAGTGTATTCTTAACTTGAAGAAAATAGACTGGTTTTGCCATAAATCATACTGATTCAACTGAATTCAGGCCCTGTGGTACCTCTCTTTTGGAGACAGACTTTATGCATCTGCTTTCCTCTGGGAAAGGAAAATAGAAGACCCAATATAGAGAAGAATTTCCTTTCTTTGCTGGAAAAAGCACTGACATCTCTCCCAAACACATGAACACCGGTAGTTCACTGCACCAGAGGGTACACAATTTCCTCAGAGACTCTCTTTTCAGAGTCCTCACTTGTTGACTCTATGGTCAGTCCTTACTGCCTGCTTGGTTGCTGGAAATTCTCACTTAGTGACCACATTTAGCATGGATTAGCCCTCCCATGCTTGCAGATTCTGCTGGAGCAAAGGCTGAGATGTGAAATCAGAAGTTCTCACACCAGCTGGTGCCCAAGTTTTTCAGGCCAGAGACTCACCTTGTGGCTGTGTTTAGGAGGAGGATCTTGTGGAAGAGTTTTTGGCTGCAGATGGGCCCTTGTTGTTATGTGGCTGTCCCAAAGTTGCTGCTCAGTTTTGGGTTTATATGATTTTTTTCTGCATCATGTGCCATGGACACACACATCCTCCTGCTGTAAATACAGGCAAGGCTGCCCAAAGTACTCAGACTTCAGAGGGCCAAATGATAACTGGCTTACTTAACCCACCTAAGGCATGTCGCTATTTAACTGCTGTGGTTCTGAACTGGACATCAGAGTGGCTTTTTCTCTTTTCTCTTTCTCTTCCTCCACTGAGGACTTCCTGTCTGCAGTGGAGGAGCTCTCCTGTTGCTTTTTGTCTGTCTCTGGTTTTGCCCCATCTCCCATCTAAGCTGTGTAGCTGTTGGGTCAGCTCCAACCTGTAGCAGAGGGGAAACAAGCCTGCAAAAACTTAATTGAGAAGTCTCTGTGATTTATGGTGAATGCATTCTAATAGGTTTGAGATTGTTTTCTCCATGCCATCAAAGCAGTCAGTGTTAGAAAGTAAAAAAGGCAGGATTTTTATATATTTCCTACCTCTGTGCCAGTTTATAATTCTAAATCTGGTCTTTGCCATATAGCTTGAACACTCAGGGCCTTCCCCAGGTCTGTTTGATAAAGTGATCACTGGACAGTGCAATACATGGAGTTCACAGGTGCTCTTCCTGCTGGCCTCACCACACTGTTTCCTACAGCTGATAATGGACTTCTTACAGGGTATCCCATAATAATTCATGGCATTTTGTGGTATTTGTGCAGTGTATATTGCCTGGGTGACAGCAGGTGTTCATGAGGTGTTCAGTCCCATAAAGGCACTGACAGCCAAACTGCCTTGGTGGAAAATACATTAATTTCTGTGTACTGTGGGAGAGCCAGACCCTGTGAGCACAGGATACACATGAATAAAAAGAAACTTGTGGCTCATAAGCATTTGCTGTATTCTTTTACTCCTGTGAACTTCTGAGAGAAAGCAAGGAGGAGAATCCCTATTTCTTTCTGA